TTTATGTAAAATATTTTAATAAATTTATAAGTTAAATTATATTTTTAATGTAGTTTGACCTATAAAATACATTTTCATTTTTTTATACAAGGTAAATATATATTTTTAAAACACTTAAATCTAGTAACACAATGATTCTGTATCGCATAATAAGGTGCATCCCAAGTTCCCAACCTTAGCGTTTGGGTTTAAATCCATCCCAAGTTGTAAACCGTTAAAAAATATTAGATTTTTTCAATTCAAATTATAAAACAAAAATTATTATTTGAATCTCATTTAATATTATTATTATATAATATAATTTTGTACAGTTTAAACTATATAATCATATATTTTTGTATTTTCAAATTGTAAAAACTTACTTTGTGATTTGTGACTAGGAGTAACCATGTGCTTGTAAATTAAAAGTTCTATCAATTTCTCAAAAAATGAATTTATAAACAAAATTGTCCACAAGATTTTCAAAGATTTCATTCGAACTTTTTCCATTTTTACTTTGTTTTTTTTGTCTCGTTTTGTCAACTTTGGGGCTTTGAAAATTCAGGTTTATCATTTATTGCGATCGGAACATGGTGGTTTAGGGTTTAATTCATCAAAACCAAAACCCGTCTTTTGCATTGAGTTGAATTCAATATGGATATGGAGGTGGTCGGCGACGTAGCCTCGCTTGACGCCGATTTACTTCAGCTTCCAGACCTTTCTCCGGCGGCACTCAAATCCAATCCCTACCTTGCCGACCAGCTCTTCTCGTTCTGGCTTTCGCTTCCGGAGACCTGTCGTGTGGTACTCTGATCCTCTCTTTTTTCTCTTCTCTTTCGCAGTGGTTTTCATTCTTGAATTTCTATTTCTTGTGTAATTTGGTGGTTGGTACCCCTTCAGAATCGAATCTTTGTCTTGGATAGGGCTTTTTGGGTTTGTAGTTCTAGAGCTGTAATCTCTGTACTGTTTTCATGTTTAGAGAATTCATGTAATTAAAGAGGTATGGGTGTTTGCGTTTTCTTTTCTGTTAAAGGTGAAGTGGTGCTGAGAGGATGAATTGAGGGTACAGGCAGTATATTAGTTAAACTGGATAGTGTGTTATTCATTTAATGATTTTGGTGGGTTTAGTTCTGTGTTTCAATATTGTTACAGATAATTTTATTTCATTGCTAAAGTTATTAAATGAAAGTTCATAGATTTTATTTTTTTTTTCAAATCTCATATTCCTTCTTTGCAACTTTATTTTCATTATTTTGATCCATTATTTGTATGGTCCAGGTCAAGTCTTTGCTTGCTGATGCGAAGTTGGGGACCTCGTCGAATGTACTTGGGAATTCTACTAGCATAAATGTTTCTCCAAACAATTCATTACCTTCCATGTTTGCTGCTGCAAGTACTCCGCCACTTTCACCTCGTAGTTCCTCTGGTTCACCACGGGTTGTGAAACAGAGGGCCGGCCCCTCTTCTTTGGGTTCTCCACTAAAAATAGTCAGTGAGCCCATTAGAGAAGTCATACCACAGGTATGATTTGCTGATTTCCACTTACGTATATTTCTGATGCTTTTTAAGTTAAGGTGTCACTAACAAAATTTTAAAATCCCTTTAGTTTTACTTTAAAAATGGCCGTCCACCTCCGTATGAAATGAAAGAATGGTGTTTGTTTGAAATCAATGATCACTTTAGTGGTCACATGGATGGACTACAAGTTCATGGTAAAAACTCTATGACTCAAGCTTTGTTTTGTATTTTTCTTTTTTTTTCTTTTTTTGGGTAATAAGGATTCTTCTGATGCATGGTCTTTTAACTTCCTTTTTGGGTTATTCGCGGCAGAATTTAAGTCAGTGACAAAAAATATTTGCAAGTTACCATCCTTTTTGTCCACGGTTCTGTTTAGAAAAATTGATGTCAATGGCACCGGTATTGTTACAAGGTATGCAACTCTATTGGATCCGTTTATTGCTTAAGTATGATGGGAATATTTCCTTTTTCTGATTTTGGGCTCTATTATCTTGCTGTTCTATGTAAATCCTGTATTTTTGGAGTTTTGTGCTTTGTTTAATGGAAATGTCTGGCTTGACTTGTCAACTAAATGTGATGTTATACGCAAAAAAGGTATGATTCTGACCAACTAATGAATTCTAGGGATCAATTTGTTGATTACTGGATTGGAGGCAACTTTTTGACTATGGATCTGACAACCTGTATCTATACAATTCTAAAGCAACCTGGTTGCAGATTCCTTTCTCAGGTCTGTTTTACTTCTAAAGAAATTTTACATGTAATACCTATGCTCTTTTGCATGTCTTCTTGAAATGTGTCGTTAACGAAAAACTGAAGTTGCAAAGTAATTATATATTTTTCTTAATAAATTTTGTTCAATGCAGCAAGATTTCAAGCCTGTGCTGCGTGAGCTATTGGCGTCTCACCCAGGACTAGAATTTTTACAAAGTACCCCAGAATTTCAGCAAAGATATGGTATGATCTATCAGTCAGGAAATATGGTCTCTAATTCTATTTGCAGGTTGACATGCAAGACTATATCAGCATTCTATAGAATCTCTGTGTGCTTCCACGATGGGAAAGGGTGACAAAGTCATCTTACATTTGAGCTACTGCTGTTCTAGTGTTGTGTTCTTGATATTGTGTAGTGAATAGAAGTGTATTAACTAGAACTTAGTGCTAGCTATTTCTAGACTTTGAACTGACATATTGATGATGAGCTATCTGGCCATTGCTAGTGAGTCTACTTCTATGTGTTCTCTTTTAGATGTTCTATTCTAGTTTTAGCCTGATCTTTCCTTAATATTACTTTTATATGTACATTGCTAATAATTGCGAGCCCACAAGGAATTTGGTTTGAGATTAATGCCTTTGGAATAAGTTACTCCTGTCCCATAATGAAGATTCCATTTAAAAAGGCAAAAGGCTTTAAGGTTGCATTTGACTTTTGCGTGCTTCTTTTTTTCTTCACCTTAATGTTTCATTTTGTTCTTATGTGGTAATTGTAATACAACAAGGGTGTAATAGTAAACTCTGCATGCAATGGTTATTCATTCTCAGTGATAACAAGCTTCTTTTATTTTTTTTGGTTAAACTCCCAATTTGGTCCCTCAACTATCGTATGGACCCTTGAGTTGGTTCCTGAGCTAAAAAAATCTCTCATTTGGTCCCTAAAGTTTTTAAATTTGGCTCCAAGTTGGTTCTTCCATTAAAAAACAGCTGACATTACTTGACAGCAGAAGGTCATTACTTGACGGCCACTTGTCACGTTAGTAACGAGACACGTCAACTGTTTTTGAATGAAGGGACCAACTTGGAGTCAAATTTAGAAACTTTAGGGACCAACTCAGAGGTTTGTACAATAGTTGACTGACCAAATTGGGGGTTTAACCTTTTTTTTTTTTTTTCATTTGATAAGCTAATAACAAGCATTCTTGGGCAACCCAAAATTGAAATATTGATTAACACTATAACTAGGGAATTGTATGCATATGGAATTGTGTTGTGTAGTCAGTTCAAATTAGAGTGTCTTATTCAGTGGCAACGCAATATGGCATGCTGCTTACATATTTTAGTTTCTCTCATTTAACAGCTGAAACAGTCATATATAGAATATTTTACAATATAAATAGATCAGGAACTGGTCGGTTGACCCTGAGGGAGTTGAAGCGTGGGAATCTAATTGCTGCAATGCAGCACGTGGATGAGGAAGAAGACATTAACAAAGTCTTAAGGTAACCCCAATAACCAAAGTGTGCAGTTTTTTATGAATATTGTGGAGAATAGTGGTTCACAAGGAAGGCTCTGTCCTTTGTTTCTTATTTTCTCCAATTTTTGGTTCTGCTAAAGAATCTCTGAAAATATTTAGATGGAGAAAAAGATTGGGGGAAGTCAGCCCATTTGGGATTTGTGGTTGGTCTAGTTTGATTAAAGATAAAAAGTAGTTCAGTTTTCGTAGTTGAAGTTGAAACAACTTCTCATTCTACCATTAAGTGTCCATCACACAGGCATCTCCCTTCTCATTTAGTTTGCTTAGCATTTTTTTCTTGCATGAACCATATTTTGTAGAGTTGTGTCCTTTTTAGGTTTGCTCTTGTCAATATGGGGGTTGGCACATTGTAATTGATAACAGTTTCATTCTCATTTGTTTTAGTGAAATGTCATTTTCCATCATTTCTTTCGTTATTTCAGGTACTTCTCTTATGAACACTTCTACGTAATATATTGCAAGTTTTGGGAGCTCGACACCGACCATGATTTTCTGATTGACGAAGAGAATCTCATCAGATATGGTAACCATGCTCTGACCTACCGGATTATTGAAAGAATCTTTTCTCAGGTTTGCATTTATGCCATTTATCTTTGGGCATGCTATTATTTTTCTGGCAATTCATTTCAGCTCTAAGGAGAAAATAATCTTCTATACTGAAGAACAAGATTAAAAAGGAAGAGTTAATCCTTTTTCTTCTCACAGATTCCAAGGGAATTTACTAGCAAGGTTGAAGGGAAAATGGGTTATGAAGATTTTGTCTACTTCATACTATCTGAGGAGGATAAATCTTCAGAACCTGGTCTGGAATACTGGTATGTTTGCCAACATTTCTGTAGACTAAGTATATAAAATACATTATTCCTAAATAAACTCTGCTTTTGAGTGTCAATATCAAGATTTTGTCTTGATATGAAACAATTTTCCTTGGCATAGGAAAGGATGAGTCTAAGTATTAAATATCGTACTGAAAGAATTGCTCAAGATTGGAGAGGAATAACTTTCTTATCTGTAAATTCATGCTCCTAAACTTAGGTCTTTCTAGGAGAAGGGACATGAATTAATATATGAAATGAATATTTCTCACTCTGCTTGTTCTAGGACCTTCTCATGAACAACTACTGAGCCAGATTTTATAGAAACCAATTTAATATGAATAAACATTGGGTTCCATGGGTTAACTTCATTGATTTTATTTGAGCCAAATCATTGAATTGTATTTTGAGATGCATTTTAATTTAAGCTTTAATCACAACGTCAATGAGATATAGATGACATGAGTCATCTATTTGTTGGCAGAGACCTACATGATTTGATCTTTTCCAATGCATCTCCTTCATGAGAAATAATTGTAAATATTTCTAAGTTGTACTTCTTTTGATTGCTACTTGCTAGATTGTTAAATATCTCTTTATGACCTTCCTGGTATAAGCTGAAAATTGTCATCTGTTGGATAGTCAAAATGATGTTAAATTGTACTATTGTTTATAATCTTGTTGATTTATTATTGCTGTTATGTAACCGGCTATATTCTTAAATCAGGTTTAAATGCATTGATTTGGATGAAAATGGGGTCCTCACACCTAATGAAATGCAGTTCTTCTATGAGGAGCAGTTGCACCGGATGGAATGCATGGCCCAAGAGCCAGTGCTCTTTGAAGATATCTTGTGCCAGATTATTGACATGATTTGTCCAGAGGTCACTCCTGACTCTTTACTGATGACTCATACTTACGGTTTCTTGTATTGCCCAAGATGACACTTAACTTCTCTTTACAGGATGAGGGTTTCATCACATTACGTGACTTGAAAGGCTGCAAACTTTCTGGACATGTTTTCAACATTCTTTTCAATCTCAATAAGTTTATTGCTTTTGAAAATCGTGATCCTTTTCTCATACGCCAGGTAAGTGTAAGTTATATTGCAATTTTAGCATACCATAGAACTTCTTCAGGAGCTGATTACAAGATAAAATTGTGTTAGGAGCGTGAAAATCCAACTTTGACGGAGTGGGATCGCTTTGCACATAGAGAATATATAAGGCTTTCCATGGAAGAAGACGTCGAAGATGCTTCAAATGGAAGTGGGGATATCTGGGATGAATCATTCGAGGCTCCCTTTTGAAACTAGTTAGGTAAGTAATTTCATTTATTTTATGATATTCTAATTTTGTGAACTCAAAACTCTTTGGTTGGGTTTGGTGTACCCCACAGCATAATGTAATACTCCGCCATTTAATTCTATGAGATTGAAAACCAATCACATTATGACTTTTTTTAGAAGGCAAAAATTGATTGGTTTCCATAGAATTAAATAGCAGGGTACCACAGCTGTACCAAATCCAACCTGTAGGGGTTTCCCTAGTTTTTGAAAAGGATTTAGCAATGTAAGATGCATGTGCGATGTCACATGATTATTGATAGGTATTTTGATTTAGGTGCCTTCACATAATCTGGACTTGCCGGTTGAAAGTAATGGCATTTATACTATATATGATCTCTTTTATGCTTTTTCTGCTGCTGGAACCATTTCTGGCTTTTGTGATCATTTGCATGCATATCCAATGTGATAAAGTTGCAATTGATTGAACTGTAATCTATCATCCAGAAAATTTTTCACAAAATTATACAATAGATTCATCCAGAAACATGCCTGTAAGTTGTCCTTTTTTTTTTTTTTTTGGAACATGAAAATATTCGGGGAAGGGGGATTATATCACAAGGATTTGAACCATGGTGGTACCCATGGTCTACGAAGCACCCTACCATTGCAGCCACTGCTGCGGGTGCTCTAACTAGTTCTCTTTATAATAACTTGTTCTCTTTATAATAACATTCTTCCAGAAAATTATTCGTTTTCATGTATGGCGTTTCTACAGGAGCTAATCGAAGGCTGCACATATGCTGGGTGCAGAAGAACTGCCCCGAGACATACTGATATTTGTCGATGCCAAAAAGGTATGCTGATATTAGTGCGACTGAATTACCATTGGTTTATAGATGTAACCCCTGAGAGCTTCTTTGGAGTATAATCCATGGTAGGCGTTACAGGGCTGGCCATTGCAGGCTACGGTAGTTCTTGGTGTCCATATTATAATAGTTACTGAAATAATACAAATCAAAATTTTGTTTATAAAATGTAATTTTTTCCCCAGACTGAGACTTGTTTCTCCTCGGTAAATTCTAAGTTGTTTATAACTTCTGAAACTTTCCTTTATATTGGTTGTATTGATGTTTATTTTGGTAAATTCTTCCTGTACTCAAGTGCCTTTATATCTATCTTAAGGACAATGATTGGCATACATCCGGATCCAACACTTGGGTGTACACCCTTCACATTAAAAAAAAAAAAAGAGGGACCGAGTGATGGATATATTTTTTTTTTATATGGTGTGTGCACACTCGGGTGTTGGATCCAGGTGTGCACACATCATTTTCCCTATCTGAAAATTCAAATTTCGAGTTTAAATCTTATATGCAAACTTTCAGACTTGAAACTCTAATGTTTAAACTTAAGTTCATAACCATTAGGATATCTCAAGAATAGTGGTAATTTGAAGTTATAAACAATTCAACAAAAAACAATAAACTTAATAATTACATGAGGAAAAACAGTAACATTATTCTACACCAACTTCTTGCTTCTTGACTTAACGTGGTAAAAATACACAACAAATATCAAAGAATCATCTCAGGAAAGAACAAGATTACTCCAATCACCGTCTCAAACCATTTGTTAAGAGGGGCCATTTGACCATGAAACTTTCATTAACAAAAATGGACTGCAAGATGTGGAAAAGGAAAATCTATTCACCAGAGAAGAATATGATTGTAACTGGTGCCATCTTGTGCCATATAGTGTAAAGAGGAAAATTGCTGCAGTCATTTTTTGATCTGACTCTCAGGGTCTTCTAGTTGGGGTGGCAAAAGGTTTAAGAAGCTCCCATGAACAGGTTGATTGGCAGATACAGCCGACTCATCTTCTGTAACATTGACCAAGAAGATAATATTCCTCAAATGTTAGATACTTAGATAATAGTAGTTTATAACTGAATTCCAAAGCAGCAGTGAAGTTGTCTGCTGACAGACAGAAACTTATCGTAGTCATGACTAAGTGATAAAAGTTTGTTTATCTACCGCTGAAGACGTACGAATTCAATTCCTAAGTCTGCTAGCCACGGTGATAGGAAGACCACACCACTAACCATAAGAAAAGAAGAACTTACCGAACAGGGATTTGATGGATGGCCTCTTAGGCTTTGTGCTCTTTTTCTTCAGCTCAGCTGCCCATTAGAAAAAGCTAGTCAAAATACAGAGATCATAGCCGAACTAGAAAGACATGCTTGTATCCCTAACAAACAATGTCCAGAAAAACAAAGAGAAAACCATTATTAGTCCTAATGAGTATGGTACAAAAATCCTTGTTAGCTTAGATTGGGCCCCAGCTATTATTTACGTTCAATTTCAAATTTTTTCAGTAGTCAAAGAAACTCAAGTTTACATCTTTATCATTGATGCTTTTGTGTTAACTTAGAAGTTTATGGACCAAAGACTGTGCCATCAATGTTGCGGGATCAGGCGGCTTCGCCACCTGCCTGAACTGGTAGGCACCCTCTCTTGATGGGTTTAAACCCAGGCACCAACCCTTTCCCCTTCCCCCTCCCTCTAAGCAAAAAAGTGATGAAAAATAATTGCCTTAAAAATAAGTTCAATGAAACTGCAACTAATTTAAGACTGGTATTCTCCAGTAGAACTAAAGGCCTCCTTTTCATACCAGAGAATACTAGAACAAAGCACATTATGTTGCGTTAGAGCATTCAGAACTTGCTTAACCATAAACTGACAGGTTGACTCATCTTCAATAACTTTGAGTGAATGCATAAGTAGTCAACTAAAAGGAGCACAACAACACAAAATACAAGCCAGGGAGGGAGCAATATACCAATCCCAGGTAACTGATTGTCATTTACAATTTCGAAGTTCTTGTATGTGTAACCCACAAAGTTAATATCCTTGGATGAAAGCATCTGCAATAAAGATAAAATAACAATTATGAATCGCATGGAAGAAATGGATATAGTACAATATCATCCATCCATATTACAGCTAGAACAAACCAAAATAATACTCAAATATATAGCAATGTTGTGTACTCTAAAATAATAATTCAAATTAGGAAATTCTTGCCAGTTCAGTGAGAAACAAGAACTGATTTTGTTGAAATTACTGCCAAGTTTATTGAAAACAAATGCGCTTTAACTAACCTTTCGCCATGGACCTGACTTTGTTGTAGTTGGCATTTGGTTGTCAGCCTAGTTAAGAGTCGAGAAAAAGACCAAAGACAAATGATAAGAATCCTTTCAATAAGGATACAAACACACAATCGCACATGTGAACGCAGATCTACCTCTTCAAACTTCTCAAAGTTTTGAGTATCCAACTCATCATTGACTTCTGGAATAAATGCAGCTTTCATGTGATATAACTTGTCCCATTCAACACCCTTGAACCACGGGTGGGCCTGAAATGTATAGGGCCAATAACGTTCATTTGTCAATTTGCAATTCTGTTTTTAAAGCATATCGAAGAATCCAGAACAGAACACACCACACAACACCACACAACACCTTAATTTCATCTGCGCCTTTTGTACCAAGTCTCTGCTCAACATTACATAAAAGCTTACTGATAAGATCTTTTGCTTCTGGAGACAACTTTGCCTCTTCTGGAAATTTTAAATTAGTTCTCCAATTTACTATCTGGATAATGAAGGAAGGAAGTTATTTGATAATGAGTGACAAAGAAAAGGGATGAACAAAGTTGAGAGATAAAAGCTGAACAATGAACACATTCAGCATAAAGATAGACAAAAAGGGGTAAGCTTTGAAGTTATTGTAATAGTATAAATCCTTATGATATGGTTGTCACACTCATACCTTCCTACAAGTTGTCATTGGATCGTCTGAATAAAATGGTGGATATCCAACAAGCATTTCATACATGATGGCACCAAGAGACCACCTAGAGAAAAATCATCACAAGTTTTCTGAGGTATCTCAGGAAAGAATAAGTTATTAATGGAAAAGAGAAAGCAAATCTACCAACCAATCACATTCCATGCCATATCCTTTTTTCAGCAAAACCTCTGGAGCAATGTAGTCAGGTGTACCAACAGTAGAATAAGCCTGAAACATCACAATATTCAAAGGTATAAACAACGTCAATTCACAGCTAATAAAAAAAAAAAAAAAATCACAGTTCTGATAAGACGCATCCAAAAAACTTGCCAAAAAGGGTAAAATCTTTAAGAAAAATGACTTCAGTGAAATATAAGCCTTCTGGTTTGTGATATGACACGATTCTCATGCCCTATGAGAATTAAAGTTAAAAATGCTAAAGGACTTCCAATTTGGTTGTAAATACTGCCATCACTAGCAAAAATGGGTAGTTATGTTGGGCACATGATAGTGAGCACTTACAAGCATCCGTCTATTCCTCTGCCAATGCTGCAATTGCTCCTGCTGTGTACGTTTTGGTGCTGCAGGACGCCCATCACTCTGCAGGGCCCCACTTAGGTTTGTTGCCATGGATAAATCCTTTTCCTGGAGATTACTGCAGTCTAGAGGTTTACAAAGTCCAAAATCTGATAATTTCATATGACCATTTTTATCCAGCAGCAGGTTGTCAGGCTTGATATCTCTGCAACGTGTTAACAAAACAGTTGACCCATACAGTGCAAAACTAGAAATGAAGCAGGCTATTAAGGAACTCATACAAACATTCCATGGCAAATATGGTAATTTACCTATGAATATAATTATGTTTGTGAATGGATTCAATGGCCAAGACAGTTTCCCCAACATAAAACCTGGCCTCATCCTCAGTCAGTGTATCCTTGCGCATCAGTAAAGTCATCATATCTCCACCAGGTAAATATTCCATGATGAGGTATAGATACTCTTCATCCTGGAATGAGCAATATAATTTAACAATGCAATTACTGTCAACTTCTGCTAGTAGATTCCTCTCAGCTTTAACATGTTCAACCTGAACGTTAAAAAAAGGAGATTTCACATTAGCATGTAGATCAAAACAGCAAAAAGAGAATACCTGAACAAAAATGTTTGTGAGTTTGAATTGTAAACCTGGCCTCTGCGAAGCATCTCTGATTTCTTAAGCTTCTTCATGGCATATACATGCCCAGTTGCCTTCTCCCTGCAGACTCTAACCTGCATGGTGAAAAATAAGTTACTAGAGGAACTTCTTTTTTTCTTTTTTTTTTTCTTTTTATTGGGAAAAAATTGAATGTAAAGAATAGATCTAGTTTTTGCAAGAGTAAAAAATTATATCCATAGTTAGACCCATCTATTTATCCAAGGTTATTGCATTCTTAATTGGTATCATTATGTTTACAGAACCATAAATGTCAATGGAAAGAGTTAGCTCCAGAAATTCCAAGGCATATAAAAGCTTCTGCTGAAGTCTTGGATTCCCTGGCATATGTCACCAAAAATAACGAACCAAACTATAAGATGCACAAAATACATTGTACCAAAATGCAGCAACTTTTCTTGCTAAAAAGTAAAAAGTAAAAAGATTCAGTTATATCTTTTTCTGATGTCAAAGAAGACTGAGCAATAAACATTGGAACCTAGACAAAAAATTCAGTTAAATCTCTGATGTGAAAATACCTCTCCGAATGCACCCTTTCCTATCATAGTCAATGGCTCAAAATCATCAGCTCCCATCTTATGCCTCTGCAAACGCATGTACTCTGTTTCCTTCTTCTCTAAATGCTTCAGTAAATTGTTTTGCTCTTCTTCGGAGACCTCAGCATCAGCCAACTTCTTTTCTAGAATGTTACGTCTGCATAAAATGATAATTACCAAGGCAACTATCATCTCAATGTACCAAAATTTAAATATTATGTACTCAACTGATCACTTCAAGTGCATAATCTTACAAGGCCATTTAGAAATTTATCTACCTAATGACTCAGACTCACTGAAATACTGCAAAATTGTCAATGTATAATTACTCTCGTCCAGTATCATGGCAAGATATATTATTAGTAATTACAGAATATTCAAAGAAAAAAAATTCAAATATCATTAGCAACTAATGTAACACTTGATTTATGTTTTAGTCTATATTCTATTATCTCTCAGTAACTTATAGAGCCAAAAGTTAAACGTTACATTATTATAACACTTACTAGTAAGAACTAAAACATTATTGATACAAAAGAAGCATTCAAATCATACCGTTCCTTCCTCTCCTGGAGGTCTTTCATCTGCTTCTTGTAATGGTTTTCAATGTACTCCTTCGCAGCTGCTACCCGCTGTTTGGTTACATTAGATGGTGCTTCTTCACTTGTTGGGGCTTTAGACCCCTCTTTCAATTTTGAATTACCTGTTGCTTCCTTTTTCTTAGAAGACTTTACCTTATCTTTTGATTTAAACTTGTTGAACCATCGCCTTGCAGCATCCATTTTTTACAAAAATAATTAACTCTCTTCTAAACCACTCTCTCAAATGTGAGTTTTACCTAACTAATTACTTATACACTTGTCATCAATTATCTAGTGTTAACAATTAAAAACGTGAAGATTTTGTGTGCATCCCTTGATAACTGCAGAATCTAACAAATGCAATCTGCAAGACAAAAATTAAAAGAGTAGACTATTATTAGAGCAGACTGACAGTAGTAATTCTAAAGTTAATTGTTCTGGTAGCAGAATAAAATAAAAAGAAATAAAATAAAATGACCAAAGATTCTCAGCAGAATGATTATCTTATTATTAGCTGTCAAAACATCCTAAGTAAAACAAACACACGCAAGTATCCAATGGCCCTTGTTTTCAGACCACCCTTCTATTCTAATTTGCAAGACCAGAGCAGTGATGTGATTTAACTTTTGCCTCTCTCAACTATCTGGTCCACCAGGGGTGAGTGATGTCTTGAAAATTGTTGATACAGGGGGACTAGCTTAACTAATCCTGAAATTGTAAAATACCAATCTTAACCATCTCGCATACCCACACTGAGACATGTGTTCACAAAGTCGTTGCCAACATTCATTTTACAACATTTCCTCAGCAAAAAGATGAATGATGGATCAATGCTAATCCCAAAACCTGAATATCAACCAAGAACCAGAAAAAGAAAAAAAAAAAAAGAAGAAGAAGAAGAAACAATGCAATAATTCCAGACCATTATTTAAATTTATTACCAACAAGCAACAAGAGAACCGAGCTGCCAAACCTACAGACCTCAAAATTCTTACCTTCCTAAACTTTCTAATCAACCCAAAAAATAATAATAATAATAATAATAACTCAACTAATCTCAATCCTACTTAGAATAGAACAGATAATGATGAAACCCCATAAAAGAACAAACTTTCAGTCAAAGAATGTCCATCTAATGCTCTTTTAAGGATCTCCAAGCACCCAAAATTTCCCCAGCGTTTTCCCACCAACCAAACACAAGTCCAAACCCCAACTACTCAACCTCCAAACTTTCCAAAAAATCAACAAAAGGGTACAACCCAAAAAACAAAAATCCCATAAAAACCTCAATAAATGACAATTGCACACAACCATTCAGAAAGAGGACAGAGATTAAGGAACCCAATTGAGAAAATCTAACGTACCAAAAAAATAAATCGGATGGCTCTGAAGAGTTTGATTCGGAAATAACAGAACAAATTGCAGGACGAGGGAACCCTAGAACAGACGCAGAAGCCGCCGGAAGAAAGGATTTTCGCCGGAATCAAATTGAAGCACCATTGAATTGATTCGATTAGGCCTTTGAAAAACGAAAGATTTTTGCTTTTACATGTCTATAGACTTTGAAAGAGTCTAGCTAGTTTCTGCTTTTGATCTTCCCACGCTCACTGTTTTTCTTTCCTTTCTGTTATTTATTTATTCAAAAAAAGTGTTTTACTATAGGATCGTAAATTAAAAAATACAATTTGTTTTATAAAATTATTTTTATATTATTTTATTAAATTATTTTAATTTTAATAAATTTATAGGATAAATTATATCTTTTTAATTTATAATTCAGGTAATAAAATATGAATATTATTTATTTTATTAATTTTACAGTTTTGGTATATTGTGTTAATTATTTTTTATTTTTCGGGATCCGGTCAAAAAATAAAATAGAACGAAAAACTCCCCAGGTTTATAGGTCAGTCTCTAAACTTATGTTGTTTTCTCAATATAGTCCTTGAACTTTTTTTTCCAACCAAGTGAAACCCATGTGCTATAAAGTCTAATTATCCATCTAGGTATTAAATCAAAGTTAAAAGAAAAGCAAAAAGAAAAATGTTTTGTAGTTTGTCTTATCTTAAATTGTAAATACCTCAACTCGGTGATTAGTAAGGTGTTTGTGGAGCCAATGATAGACTTAAGTAATCGTGAAATTGAAGTGTTTGAAATTTATGTAAAATGTATTGTAAAACACATTTTAAAAATTTTTTAAGATTGGCATTATCTACTATTAATGCATATCTAGTTGACAAAAGAAAAAATACATTGATATTAAAAATATTAAAATGCTTAATAATAGTCACATGATAAATTTGATAAAATTAAAATTCACATTATATTTTACATATTTAATAACAATAATAAATGCCTTATTAATTTTAATATCAAAATATCTTTATTTTTTCTTTTTTAGATCTAGATAGTGAAAAAGTTTATCCTAAAATGTTGTACTTCTATGTCTATATATTATATATAAAAGATGTAACTATAATCATCATCCCATTTAAAAGCTGTAATTATCTATACCGACATTAAAACACTTTCTCCTTTAATTAAATACTGGGAAGAAATGATAAATTTGGGGGTCACGAGCTGGGCCACTCGTTGGGAAAATGTCTATTTAAGAACAAAGAACAATAATTTGCCTAACTTTGCATTCAAATTTCAAAGCCTTGATGGACGCCTTTGATTTAGATGCATTTGAGGGCAAGATTGCCTCGTGGCACTCCCTCGATGTGGCTGCCAGTTGCCAACACCTGTTTTTAATCCCCCTTGATTGCATTGCTTCCTTCCTTCCTTCCTTCCTTTCTTCTTCTTGCAGAGTGGCAGGTGATGCTGGTTGACACGACGGTTACCTTTTCATAAAAACAATCCACTAAGCTAATGCCACGTGTTCTTTAGATTTTGGTGTTCTCATTCCTTAGCACCCAATTGGGCCCAAAGCAACACCAGTTTTTATAGATCAGTTGATTGATACACTTAATATTTTAATTAATATTAGGGTTTGAATCATAATAATATTGTACAAATAATCCATTTTTTCTTATCTCAAATTGTAGCCGTTTAACAAACTGAGCCCAAACCCCAACATCAACCAATGCTCGATCAAAGGAAGAGGAACACACATCACCAAAGGAGGTGGAAGGACTTAACCAACATTGAGAGGAGAGACCAACGACTTATTAGTCTGAGTGAAAGGAGTTTGGTTTCACTTAAGTAAGGTCTCGTGTTTGAGTCTTGTAAATGAAAAAACAAACATTAGGAGAGCTTCTTCTTATAAGGTCTGATGCGATTCGATTCTAAATTAATTGAGATTCAATGTGATCACCAAATATCAAGAGGTCAATACCAAAAAAAAAAAAGGAACATTGAGAGGAGAGAATTAAAGAAAGAAAAATGCTATGTGCATACGGGTTAATTAAGACTTGAGTGTTAGATTTGTTTAATGATATTTCTTATTAAAGAAAACTGCAAACCTTATGCCCTTAAGAAAGAGTTTTTAGTATACTTACTTTTTTAGCCAATTTAGTAGACATTTGAACTCAATGAAATTTTATCAAACTTATTAATAGATATGAATTCACTAAAATGAAAAGTTGCTATTGTTGTATTAATTAATTAATTATTTATTTATTTATTTATGGTTGAGCTTATCTTTAAAATGTATATGGAGATGGAGTGAATTCGAAATTAAGATGCAGGTTTAACTTGATTGTGAAAGGTTGATAATGGATGTGATGTGGTGGGAATGGTTGGGATATGGCCAATGATCAAGGTGCTAAGAGGAAAGGTAGAGCTTTACTCAACTAACAATAGCATTATCTACTTATCAAATAATAAAGTTAATAATAGCATTAATATCTTTCACTTTCACTCCATAATGCATCATTTTTTGTCTTTGTAGTTTTTAAATCTCTATCATCTGAAAGAACACTCTTGGGATGATAAAAAAGAAAGAAAATATTAGTTGATTCAAACATGTTCTTAGTATTTGATTTGATTTAATGAGTGGCTTAGCTGTTGAGGTTTGTTTGTATTCCAAGAAAGTCAAAATGGTAATCAACTTCATGGAAAAAAATTCACTTGTGGCTTTCTTGTAGTTTGGTTAGCATGCAAAGTTAAGTAGGGTTTGGAAATTTTTGAAGCAATGCCACATTGCCGGGTTTGGTGGAGGCCATTCCTTTCATTGCTCAAGTGCCCTCCAAACAAGCCAAGTTTGTTTCATTGGCTAACACTAAATATACATCATTTTAGAATATATTAAAAAAGAATAAGTGATTTGAAGTCTTAATATCTTAATAATTATTTTTTTACAACTTAAATTATATCAAATTATAATAGCAAACAAACTCACAAAATCATTATTTATATCTTCTAAACTTTAAAGTAACATATGATGAAGCTTTACATTCTTGAAGATTTCAACCTAGCATTTTATTAGGGGGATGAAAACTTTTTTTTTTTTTTGGAACATAAATAATTTGTTACAATTAAAGGGATTCAAAGGGGGGAATGGGGAAGGAATTGGTGGGATTTGAACATAACCCCATTGGATGAATTCCACATAGTCAGTGGTTATGCCACTACTCCTATAACGTGAATTTTGAGATAAAAACCTCCTTGATAATAAAGGATGAGGATTTGGAGAAGCGAAGAAGCAAAGCAATAAAGGGGAATAGTGTGGGTTCCCTTTGAAGTAGGCATATTATTGGGGGACCATGTTTTAAGGCATTCGGATATGCATCAATTCAAAATTTCAACACAAGTGGAGGAAAAAAAAAATAAAAGAAAGAAAGAAAGTTATGTGAAAGCTATATGGACAATATTTTGTGACAGAAGTACCCCACCTGATTACATTGCTTGTCCATCATTAACAGAACCTCATAAAAGCTGCCCCATCTTCATAACACCCATTTCGTTTGAAATTAAACCCATCATCAATGGCCATTATTTCAAGACAGGTTTGAGATCAGCATCTCTTTATACCGATAACTAAAATGGTTACAAATTTGAAACTTGTAGATATCATAGCATTGAGAATGCAGATTGAAACACAATACACAACAATGTCCATTTAAAGGGGAAAGAAAATCCACCAATGTGATTTTTGGCTTAGTGGCAAATATTAAAGCTTTAGTTTGTCTTGTCGTTTGTAAGTTTTAGTCAATCTTTTCAGGTGCCAAATGTAATCTACAGTGTGCACGCATGTACTTCACATAAAAAAACAATTCATCTCCTTGAAAAAATAAATTTTAGAAGTTAATTAAGTATTCATTACTTCTACCATAGCTTCACTGTCTTGATATCTCACCAAGAGGCATCTTGATATCTTACCAAGAGGCAAGAAAACAAAGGACACATGATGTCAAATGAGGACCTTGGCCCCCCGGTACCTGAAAACAAAAGGGAAGAACAAGAGAAACAAGTGTTTGTGTTAAGGGTTGTTGTTATTGTGTCTCATTGTAAGGGGAAAACTCAAGTGAAATAACATGATAGGTGTTGGAATAGATGGGGTGGTGATGTTCGGTGAAATGGGGTTAAAGAAATCCAATGGCCAATGGAATCGAACTAACATGAGTAATGGGAACTTGGGAAGATATGCTTACTTGAAAACAGGGGAAAAATGGACAATGGATGTGCACATGGCTTCAATGTATTTATATAGAATGATGGATGTGTTTGGTTGGATCAAGGATGACTACCGTCTACCATAACTATTGGACATTTCTGGTGAACCCCAATTTCTTCCTTGGCTCTATTTTGTGTGATTGATAATGACAATTTATAATTATCTTACCTTAAACAACTTATTAAGTTATTTGAAAAAATATTCTAAAGAATTTTCAAACTGTATATCAATTATCAGTTGTTAACGTTATCCACAAACAGTTACAGTATTTATATCAATTATTAGTTGTTAATGTTATCCACCAATAGTTACAGTATTTAGTTATTCTTATTAGCCAAATAAATAATAGTTCGTGTCTAGCCAAAACTTGTTTAGAATGATAAAATTTATGTTTCCCATGAAAATGTATACAAGTTATTGCAAGAGCCGGTGGCTTTTATTTAGTAGTATGATCAACAATACAGTACACACACTAAACAGACTGTATTCATATACAACACAAACACAGAATCAGCCATGGCTGACTATTTAAACACCTTATGATTGAGCTAAGTTCCTTTTTTTGTGTAATACTGCCGTCCATGTTTCTATAGATTAGAGGGAAACGAGCTAGCTTTCTATATATTAAGCAGCACAGGTGGCACAAGTGCAATTAGGCCCGCACTTGCAGTACACCTTCCCAGTCCCAGTGACTTCAGTCTTGTCGCACCCACATGGATTGCAGCTGCAGTGTTCACCGCAGGAGCACTTCTTGTGTTCTACCCCTCCGGCAGAGGCCTCTGCCGTTGGGCACCTGTAAGACAATAATCATCTCTAAGCAATTCATATACATGTGGTCAATTAGAACAAATTAACCAAACCCTTAAGAGAGAGGCATGGACCTGCAAGCCGTACCGCCAGGGCAAGGACTTGGGCAGCCACAGCGGTCGTCACAAACCACCACTACCCCTTCGGTAGCCGCCATCTTCACTGTTAGTTTTGTGCAGGTTGTTGACTTTGAGTGAGCAGCAGCTACAGTTTTCTTTACATGCTGCCCGGAAGTCTTGCATAGGGGTAACAAGTGTTAGAACAAAATGCCAGAAGAGCAAACACATGGCCATACGTATTATTGACACCTTACACGCATGATCAATTTTGACTTTCCTTATCAGTTACATTGGTCAAATTCTTTGCTTTCAAAGTATAATCATAATCAAATGGTTTTGTTTGTGCATATGCAAAGGGGAAAAAGGGGGAAGGCATTCAGCAGCGAAGCAACCATGAATTAAACAAGCTAAAAATTGCAAATACAATGGCTGAACAAAAGATTATTAGTCAGCAGCAGAAGTAGCTGGAAATGGAATAACTAAAATAGAGAGTAGGGGGAATTAAAGAATAGATTAGAGATGATGATCACTGATCAGTTTATGGCTTGCCAACTAAATCATTACAAAGGAAAAAGGGGAAACAAAATTAATGTAAACATTGCTTAACACTACAAAATAAACTGTTTGGTGCCACACTCCCTGGGGGATATGCATTTTTGAATCTCCCTCCGAGCTGCAGCAAATATAAGGAGAAATGAGGATCCTTGGGTTCATGATTCTATTCAGAATTCCTGAGGCTTTGACTTGTCAGCAATATCTTCTTTTGGACAATGAACACAATTTCATCGCCATCTTGATCTGAATCTGAACTAGAATCGGCTGTTGCTACTGCTTCCCAGTGCAATGCTGGTAAATACTTCTTTATGAAATCTATAACTGGTTGTTTGTCACGGATGATAATGAAACCAGTAGGCCTGAGCATGCGATCCATCTCAAGTAACAAGTCTTCAGCACTACAGCCTTTCTTCACAACGTCAGAAAGGATAGTCCAAGCATGAAGCAAGTCATAAGTTCGTGGATATGTCGAGTAGGCTTCACACCTGTCATGATAATTGGTCCAACGAACTCAAAATTTGCATATGGAACTTAAGTTTAAAAAACAGAGAAATGTTACAAAGTAAGCGAGTGACCCCTGTTAGAAAACAATACTAACATATTATATACTATTCCAAACTTGATGATGGAGATGAGAGCAATTAATCTATATAAGTTCGTGCATACCAGTCATGGACAGAGCCAATCAGGCCTCGGTCATATATCAGCTTAAGTGTGTTTGGTCCATCTGCTGGGACAACATTCATCACCCAAACATCCTTGCCCTTTAGAGCAGCTGCAAGTGACCCCATGTTTGCTTTCATGTCCATCAAATTTCTAAAAGTATCCAACTCAATCTTTGGAGCCAAAAGACTCCAATATTGGTCAACTCTTCGGTGCCACATTTCCTGTACATCACCAGCAACAACTAATTCAGCATCTATTTGTCATTGCCAGATACTGCAAATAAGCTTAGGCAAGTAAGAATAAACATGGATAAGTGCTGTGTCAATTACCGTATCCTTTTCAAACATTTCACTTGAATAGCCAAAATCAGCAAGTCTAGGAGGAGGAGAGGTCAATCTAGCTGGCCAAGGAGATAATCCACTCCCCCTGGCTTTATGGTCATCTGATGGAACCAATAGAAAGTTAGTTGAAACAAACTATCAACCATATCTTTCTAGTTATCAATTAAAAACATGGATGACAGGAAAAAGGTAGCTGTTAAATCTTCATTAAAAAAATTAAGAAATTAACAGAATAAAAAAGAATCAAACATCACCCAAGAAGCTTCTATATTTCACTAAAAAAATCTTCATCATTTGAAAACTGAACAAAAAATGTAATCCAAACAAGATTAGAAAAGAAAGAAACTCACAGTCAGTATATGGCGTGATACAAGCTTCCATTGGTACACCCCAAACAGCATCTGGATCGTCATCAGAGTGGCAAAGGGGAGGTTGAGTTCCCGGTTCTCTTTGCAAATAACAGTCATTTGTTAGAGGTTTTTGCCAAATGACAGTTTGGTTCCTCTTTGCAGCTATTCTCCAACACATACGTCCCACAAGGGCACTCATTTCCCTCCATATTCTAAGATCCTCCTCATCCTGAGCATAAGCTTCTGGAGATGAGTATGCAAAGTAGCCTCCTGGTCTAAGTAGCCTATCAAGTTCAAGAAGAAGAATTCCATCCCTTTGCAGCCAGTCAATCCTACAACGAGAACAGTGAGCAAGCTCAAATGATCTGCTTGGGTAGGGGAGCCTCTTGGTTCCTAAAACACCGAGATATGCAGGAATTCCTCTTTCCAGGGCAAACTGAATTTGGTTTTGATGCACATCATTAGGTGCCAAAGACATTGCTATTATATTGGATGAAAGAAGATAAGCTCCAAAACTTGCAACACCACAGCCAACATCAAGAACTGTACGCAATCTTCCTTCGTTGTTTAAATTATTGTTTGAAAAGTTGAGCATCTGCGAAGTAAAACCACAGGAATCGTTATTGCTACATTGTTAGGGTGCAAAAAATATTAATAAATGTCATCTTATCAAAAGCTATCCAGCCTATCCCCATAGCTAAAAGAAGAAAAGAAACAAACATGATGTGATGAAGGCAAACCCATGAATCTGGGCATAATGGTTAATCAGGACACAGTTTACAGAAGAGATTACAGATCAAAGGTCACATTCATGTTCTGTTTTTTGGAATAGATGATGAGAAGTTAAGGGAGCAGCAATCATACATTAGCAATTGAAGCAATATACTTGTCAGCTCCATAGTGGAAATGAGTGCCTCCCCCAGGGAATGCTATCTTTTCTCCTTTAACAACCATCCAGTTCTGATCAGATTTTTCATGCGCAAGGTGTGTATGAGGAATGTTTACTTTCCATACTTCGTCTCTGCTTCTGGGCCACTTAATTGGGACCTGCAATATCACAGGAATTAGTAGACAGCCACCATGAGCTAAACCTGCCAGTGATCCTAACGAAGAAAGATTGCATGCTCACCAATTACTCAACTTAAGCATAACTTTACCTTGTATCCTGGTGGAGGAGGAATCAAACAGTTGTACCTCCTCTCAGGAGGGGGGCAATGACGCTCATAGTGTTCCATCAATGTTAAGTCCAGCTTCAATCTCATTTGGTATATGAGATTTCTGTCTAAGCATGGAATTAGTTCTGAATGCCTATCATCACATACCTTAGAAACATGTAGCAAACCAATTCAATACTCTGAAATATAATAAAATGGATGAGGCATAATGCTACACAATCAATAAACTTACAGGGAAAGTTTTGGGTGTAATATCATCCTCTCCATCCTGCTGCCCAAATTTTATAGAAGAATCATCTTGCTTGCCATCAGCATCATCATCTCCACCCAAATAAGATGATCCAAGTTTTCTCAAAGATCTGCTACCATATTCTAGAGCTGCTGCACCACGGTTTGAAGACCCAAAAATGGATCCATGGTAGACGTATAGAAACCCAAGAAAGATTGCCACAACACACAAAGAAGTGATTAAGCGCTTCTTTTGGCCTCCATCAGATCTGTTCCTCATTGTTCTTTAGTTATGAGATCCTTCACCTTGTTGACTTCTCACTATCACTTCAGCACTGAACAGTCCAAAAACAGAACTCCTTATCCTAAAGCTATCTCATACAAAATTGTGATTGATATGAATCTGCTATAATGCCACCATCAAGCTCTAATCAAGAGAATGAGCATACAAATTTCTTTCTAAGGTTTTCAGATAAGAACACAATAGACTGCAAGACTGACCTGTGAACAGATTAGAAGGAAACCATCATCAAATTTTCTTCATCATATGCATCTACCATGCTACTTAGTTAGGATGCTTCAATCAGACTTAGATCTAATCATGCATTGGGAAGGAAATCACATAAACTAAAGGGGAAGTCACTTCCTCCTATAAGCATAAAAACTTTTATAAAAATAAATAAATGGAGATAAAATCAATTATACTTCTACCCAAAACTATGAACTCTTCAACAAGGTCATACAAAAAGGTAACAGTATGTCAATCAAGCAATCAACAAAGAAACTAAGAAAGCCCAACTCCATACTTAGTTTTAAAAAGCTTTGAAAAGTTTCACACAACCATTTTTAAACTGACCAGCTAATAACTTCACTTGGAAAACAACAAGGAGATAAATAAGGCATCCAACACTCTAGAAAATCCAATATTGGTAGCCTATTAAAGTTGCCTAATTCTTCTGCTTTAAAAGAACTCACCCTGTTCCAGTGGCATGAAACAGTTTATTGCAAAAGATTCCAACAATAAAGTTCAAAAGCAAGGTGAAAGTTTGTTCAACAAGATTCAGAATTCAGATTCGTGTTCCTACTCAATGCTCCTATTACACCATTAAAGAGAGGGAAAAAAAGATGATAACAAGCCATAGCTGTAACCAGTGAATTGGCAACCAAGCAATGAAAGGGATCTATCCAAGAAAACGACTAAAAGTATGCAACTAAAAGTGATCTGAGCTACATGATTAACCTCATCTCTTCCCATTTTACATGATTGAAAACATAGGCAATGATGCACACGACATCTCCTAAGTACCTAATATGAACTATTATGAACTGAAAAATTAACAGATCCGAGTATAACCCAAAATCCAAACTACATTCCCCATTAGGAAAAACATCAAAAACCAATCAGAATTCACCATGAATCCAACAAGCAAACAACGAATCAAACTTTTCCACTAAAAAATCAATCCAAACACATCAACATGGATCCCATTTTACCAGATCAAAAAGTGAAAATCACACCACAAAATAACCCAGGATGCAAATTGAATCAGATCCCACCAAAGAATCGAACATAAAATCAAAACCCAGAAGCCACCCACGAAAAGAAACGAGAAAAGAGGGAAGCTTACAAGGTTTCCACATGGAATAACGAACGGGGATGCGTAAAGACAGATCTAATAGGAACACCCCATTTCCTCTCCAGCGTCAAAGATGAAAACGAAAGATTTTAGATCTCGGCTCCCAGGGAGTTTGTAGTGTTTTTTCTAAAAATAGATAGGGGGCATGGCTGGGTACTATATGTGGAAGCAAGTGGAGTTTGAGTGTAATGCAAACAGTGAGATACGTAGGGTTATTAAAGTATGATCCAATCTAGGATTTGATTGAAAATTTGGCATAGGGTTAATGATAAACAATGTTAATTAACCAGTTCATAAAAAAATTAATGTTAATTAACTATTAATTTATGAATAATGGTGCAACGAGTTAACTAATTTAGTGGCCATTTCTTTTCATTAAAAATAAAAGATTTTAAATTCAAATCGTATGATATATAGATATGATAATATAAAGAATGAAAGATATTTGACTTCCATTGTATAACAAAGATAATATATATATATATATGTATATGAATAATGGTGGTGATTAAGGATGGCAATTTTCTCCGCGACCCGCGAAGCTCCGCGGAGATACCCGCCAAGCTCCGCGGAGATACCCGCCATGGGGATGGAGATTCTCAGAATATTTCTACCCGTGGGGCGGGGATGAAGGCAATTTTCTACCGGTGAAATTTCACAGGGAATTTTCTCCACCTCGTGGAGAACCGTGGGGATCCATATAAAATAAAAAAATATATAAATTTGTTTATATATATATATTTTTTGTACATACATTATCAATTAATTTTTACTTATCCAATTTAATTAGTTAACCCGATACCAACATAATTTAAATTTCACAACCCATTCTTTTATCAATTTTTTTAAACCCAATTCTCAGCCCAACCTAATTTTTTTTGTTAATCTAATAATCCTAAACCTAATTGCCCAACCCCAATTTACAACCCAATTTACAGGCCCGATTTACATATAACCCTAGCAGGAGGACATTTCACTCAGTCTCTCTTTTGCTTGCCGCTTCTTGCAATTGCAAATTGTGAATTTGGGAATTGAGATTCCTCATTCCTCTCTCGGTCGGTGTCGGTCTCTCCTCTCCAGTCAGTCTTTGAGTCTCCTCTCCTTTAGTCCCCTACCACACTCTTGCTCAAACTCTGCCCTCATCTCCACGGATCACTATGAATCGGTGCTTCCCTTCAGCTCTCAACCTCTCACCGACTCACCATGCCGTCTCTCGATTGGTCTCTCCAGCCAGTCTCTGAGTTTCCTCTCCTCTAATCCTCTGCCACACTCTTGCTCAAACTCTGCCCTCATCTCCACGGACCTTCACAGTGATTCCCTTCAGTTCTCAACCTTGCCATCACTACAACCCCTGGCCCCTGCTGCCCTGCAACGCTCACCGCTCACCTCCAGCTGAGCTCCAAGGCTGCCGCTGGGTCATCTCATCCTGCCTCTCACCGTGGCACCATGTTGTCAACCCATCACTACAAGTCAACAACGCTTCTCACTCAGCACCGCTCACCTCCAGCTTGTTTTAAAAGAGTGATCTTGATCATCTTTGTTTGCTATATAGGATTCTGTAAAATTGCTATTTTCTTTTGGAATTTTGATTAACAAGCAGTGAATGGTGGAGACTTCGAATACCCGTGGGGACCTATTATTCCCCGCGGGGATGGGGACGAGGCAATTTTTGACTCTCCGCCAAAATTCCCCACGAGGATCCCCGTACCCGCCATTGATGGGGATGGGGATGGGGATGGGGAGGGGTCCCCGCCCCCGTGGGGACCCGTTGCCATCCTTAGTACTGGTGATTAGAAATTACAGTTAATTCTTTGCATATGCCTCTTTGATTGCTTAAGGAGTGTGCGTTTAACCCCCAAAATTATAAAAAGTTACACATTCATCTCATACTTAGACTTTTTCCTATTAGCCTTGAGAGGTTTTTACTGTCAAATTTCGACAAAAGAGGATTTTACATATTCACCTAAGAAAATTATGTTTTTTAGTTCGAATTGCATATTAAAAGTGTACTTCAAGTGTCAAAATTATTATAAAAAAACTTTCAATGAGTTAATATGAGAAAGAGTCTCATTAAGATTATTTAATAAATTCACATCATGATTACATTTTTATTGTACAATTCAAATCAAAAAACACATTTTTGTTTATCTAATATTAGGGTTTTGGTCACCTGTTCACTCTCCTAAAGCATTGATCTACACTAGTAATGCATTTCAAAAGGCATAAAGTACTATAACTCAAAAGTTTAGTGTTATTTGATATTATGATGCATTAGATCAACGCTCAAACAAAACATCAAAAGTGCCCTGTGATTATGTTTTAAGGATTAGTTTGCACTTCTAATATTTTAGTCAAAACCAAAGCAAGGTCTCATCTCTATTAGAATGATGCAATGCTGTAAAGGATTGATATGGAAATGAAAGAATGATCGAGGAGCAGTAGTGGAACCATATTATAGAATGATTGGGCATACACCCTACTATAGATTCTAAAAATTCAAAAAATAGAGACATTTAAGTTAAGATTTTAAAGAAAATAATGTTAAAAGTCTGATTCTTAATTTTTTTTAATATAAAAAAATATTAAAAACTTAAGTATGAAAAAATAAAAGACATTGGCCTTAGTTGATTCTTAATTCCACCACTGCAAAGAAGAGAGAAAAGTAAAATGAAAAGCATTAATGGTAAAGGGTTTTTTTTTTTTTAACACTTTTTACTCGGAGTTTTAATTGCACAATTTCTTGCGGAGGTGAAGTGCACCTTTCCCAAACAAGAGATGGCAGAATTCAATTTTTCCTTTTTATATAT